GAAAAAAGCAACAGGAGCCGTTGAAAATGGCCTAAAAAGACCTAATGTACGGGACTGAAAATGGACGAGTTAATCAAACTTTGGGCGAGTTCTCTGAATCTAATCGCCACTTGCTGCAACTCATTCTCCAAGGCATATCCGATAAGATTAGCAATTATCACCGCTAACGAATCTTGGTAATGAAAAAATGATCAGGTGGAACTTGTTGATTCCGCCTTCGTGGGCGGAGTCAGCTTAGGGGAAACTTGTTGATTCCGCCTTCGTGGGCGGAGTCAGCTTATCGTTGCTCAGTTGTCATACTTTTATCAACGCGCTTTTGAGCCGCGAAAGTGGGACATCCGCTGACCGTAAGCTCCGCCATCTTGGACTATAAAGGATTTCTGCACATTGGCTAATCATGGGCGTTTTCAGATGATTGGTCGCAGGCGTTGTTTTTGAGTATATGAAAACTGAAAAATAAAATAATATGCGACAGCCCATCGCCCACAAGAACATGTTCCATACTGGATGCAATGAAGCTACTGCGAAGAAGCTCAGCTTTAAGTTGTTGTAACTTTGGCCATATTGTGGTTTGAAGACAAGCTCATCTCCGTGGATCTTGACCCTTGCCACGTGCGTGATGAGTGGGTGTGCAGGTGATGTTACCCGGGTGCCCTTCGAGACTGCTCGCGCTGCCGCATTGCCACCCACACACCTAGCCATGGAAAAAAGGCGTTACTTGCCTGCTCCCTTCACCGCTGAAAACGTGTTTCTGCGGGATCTTGGTATCCACCCAATTGCTGCAGCTCGAGGATAGCGCGGCGAAGTTCCGAACGGCACCCACGACCGCTAGCTTTCAGCTTCGCTTCCGCGCGCTGTCGGAGGCCGAGTGTTTTACATTTTAGTTTCTCGCACATGGCAAGGACCGTGTTTGGAGAAGAGTGTGCAGTTTGTCTCTAAGCAAGACGAGCTTCAAAGTAATGGCTGTCACTTCTTAAAGCGGATCACATCGACGAGTACACTCGAACAGTTGCTCTTTTCCAATCTGCGCGCGTCTCCTCTGGAACCCTAGAACGAGGTGCCCACCAGTAAGGACACTGTAGTTCTGCTAGTGCTCCCTTATCATCTGCGTGAACGCAATAAGCCTTCAAATGAGAAGAGTGAGAGATCATCTTGCGGGAAGTGTACCTGTCAAGAATCTGCGTAGTTATCACAAGAATGCTGAGTTGTGGGCAAAAGTCGTGCCCCAGGCGGGAGTCGAACCCGCACCTCACGCTTTCCGGGCGAGTGCGCTATCCCAAGCAATCGATTATTGTGATAACATTTGGACGCGTACTGCGGCGTTTCAAAACAGCCGTATCATAACAAAACAATCTTCAGAAGTCTTGCGCAGTGTTTGATAAATAATGCTCCAATACAAAGGTCAGGTACTCGGGGCTAAGAGAATTCGATTTTTGATTTCCATATAGAGCGATTTGGCTCATCATTTCCTTCGATCTCGCTTTTTGAACCTATTTGATCAACCTTGTGTACTTTTCCATGTTGACTTTCAGACCCTCATTTTCGATTTTGGCTCGGAGGTGTACGTATGGAGTGGACGTAATGCACGAAAGACTGCAGGGCGTTATGCTGTAGAGTATGCTCAGCAGTTGGTATGCAGTACTGCCTTACTTCCATATGAAATATTATATGAACTTTGTTTATTCAGAAAACAAAACGAGTCACGTCGGACTTATCCCTCTTTGGCTCAGAGTTGGGTGACGGGCGTGCGCCTTGGGTACTGTACCTTCGAGTGTTTCAAGGAGTTCAAGTGAGAAATCTTTGGTATTTTACGGCCCGCTTACTGTATACTCAATATTTCCTTACAGAACTGTCTGTTCGCTGCGAAATTCTCAGATTGGCAAACGAGTGAGACAAAAATTTTCAGCACACCTAAGCCTTTCCAACCGGCGGTGAATTTTATCGATTTTTTCGGATATTATTGATTACTGTGCTCAGCAATCAATGAGCAGGTCTTTAGATACCACTGCAATGCCCTGATGAGAAGCTTCATGCTCGCCTTCTGTCAGATGTCCTTTTGAATTTATCACATCCAGAACCAACGGAAATCTTGGGTAAGTTATGATGGTTTCCATTCAGCTATTGGGTCTGCACAACGACTTTCTGGGGCAGAGATGTTAAGAGCAAAGCTTTTGTAGTGTCAGTGTATATCCTTCAGTGGGGTGGGCATGGAGACGGGGGTGGTTGGATTTGGAGAAGCTCGATTGATTTTGATGATACATCCCGCGATAGTATGATGGGCTGAGACTCGCAGCCCTTCTGTCTTCATCGTTGACAGCCCTTGCTCTTTACCGAGTGAGTACGTGGAGCTGACCAAGCGAGGAGCACAAGATGTTTACAAGCCTCCGCCCATCCGATTATCGCGGAATGTGTTTGTAACCACTGCGCTATAATGCGCGTCTTTTCTTGCTGATTGAATAACGAAATGGATTTTGAAACGAATTTTCTGTACGTTTTCAGAAGACCAAGAGCTGACACGTGAAATGAAAGACGTTGTCACCGAGAGTGTAACGTTTTGGCAACTGATCGGCGAGGAGTTGGAACCAATTGAACAGACGAATGTTTTCGTTGATGACTGTTGCTACGTGATACGGATGGCAGTACCGAATTCAGACTTCAGGTTGGCTCGGCATTATTTTCGTTTTCATTTTTCCTAAGTCACTTAGAAAATGAATGAATCATTGAGAGGCAGGTTCATTCTGACGCGAGCAGGTCCGACACGGCTGCT